CCCGTGCCCACCCCGGTGCCCGCCGCCCCCGACTGCTGCCCCACTGAGCTGCATTCTGCGAATGCCAACGAGCTCGACCTGCCCGAGGTGCCACACGGTGAGTGGGGACACGGGATGGAACCCCCTGCGCAGCTCAGGGGTTCCCTGCGTGCTGCTCGTGGTCACGGAATGGGCACTTTCTGCCCCTGCACGGTCCATGGGGATTTGGGGAGCTGTGCATGGAGCAGGGAATTGTGCAGTGGATGGATCCTGGGGCTGGAGGGTGCCAATGGGGCACTGGGAATGGAGCAGGGAATCGTGCAGTGGATGGATCTTGCTCATGTGCACTCCTGGTGCCAGTTGGATGCTGGGCATGGAGCAGGGAAGTCGTGGCATGGATGAATCCTCCCCAAGCACACTCCACAGGGCTGGAGGGCGCAGGTGGGTGCTCTGTGGAGCAGGAAAGCTGGTGCATGGGGCAGAGAATCCATGGAATGGGTGAATCCTGCCTGAGCATGCTCCCTCAGCGCTGGAAGTTTCCAATGGGACACTTCATGGAGCAGGAAATCCATACAAAGTTCAAATCCCCTGAGCTGCAGCTTGTTCTGCCCTTGCCGTGGCCCTGGGAACGGTCCCTGGGATGCCACGGTGACCCCACCGCTGCCAGGGCTGGTGCCACGGCTGCTCTGGCACATCCCACGTGGCTCCCTGGCCTCGCTTGCCGCCTCCCTGGCACGGGGCAGGAGCAGGAGCCAACGCATTCTGCCTTGGTGGAGACGTGGAAAACAATTTGCAGGTAAAATGACCCTTTCCCGTGGCAAATTACCCTTGACTGCTGCAGCCCGGGCGCTTGTTATTCCAGGCAGGATGTCACGGCACGGCGGCCGGGCTATTAACCAGGCGGAATGAGGCCATTTGCTCGTTCCGGGATTGTGGGAATGGCTGAGGATAAAGCAGCCGGCACCGGGATCGGGCTGTCCCGGTGCTGCCCCTGCCCGCAGCGCCAAGCTCGGCGAGGTGATGCGGGGGTTTTGGGACACATCTGGCCAGATGTTCCCTTCAGCAGCCTCAGGGTGATGCGCGGGCAGGAGCAATCCCCAACTGGGCTGCGCGGGGTCTTTATCCGGCAGATTAGGTGGCGGGGCCGGGCCGGGGGTGTAGAGATAATTTCATTGGGCTTTAGCATTTATTTCAGGAGCTAAATGTCATTACGGGCAGATCCCCCACTAAATCCCCGGTCCGTTACAGCTGCAGGACTCTAAATCGCCTCATCCCGAGGGGAGCTGTTTGAGCTGATTTCATTTTATGGGTTTTTTCTGCGTTTTTGGGGTTTTTTACCCCACTTTAAACGCCACTGGGTGATTAAGAGCTCAGCGGCAGGGTCAGGTGCCAGCCCCAAGGTAACAGCCTGGATGATCCTGTGCCCGAGGACTGACACCTGCTGTGGCCAGGGGATGTCTGGGGAGAAATGGGATCAGGATGGGATGGAGAAAGGGGATCCAGGATAGGATGGAGAAAGGGGGTCCAGGATGGGATGGAGAAATGGGATCCAGAAGAGGATGGAGAAGAGGGATCCAGAACAGGATGGAGAAGGGGGATCCAGAATGGGATGGAGAAATGGGATCCAGGATAGGATGGAGAAACGGGATCCAGAAGAGGATGAAGAAGGGGGATCCAGGATGGGATGGAGAAGGGGGATCCAGAAGAGGATGGAGAAGAGGGATCCTAGACAGGATGGAGAAGTGGGATCCAGGATGGGATGGAGAAGCAGATGCTCCTCCAGGGGATCCAGCACATCTGCAGGGGGTGGCTCAGTGGGGTTATTTCCCCCGAGCGTGGCACAGGGCGCTGGCCAGGGGTGTCCCTGCAGAGCTGGCAGGGCTCAGTGCCACATTCCGTCTCTCCAGCTGCGATGGCCACAGCGCAAACTCCGGCTCCTTCTCCAAATTACATTTGACATTCAATTAAAGGCTGGAGCGCCCGGGGGCTCAGTGTTATTGTGGAGCCGGAGCCACGGGGGCCATGCTGTGCCTCGGCCACCCCTTGTTCCACGCCGCTGCCACCGTCCCCCCCCGGGTGTCACCGTGCCGAGCTGCGGGGCTGCAGCACAGAGCGCCCTTCATGCGGCGAGGGGGGGTCCCGGGCTCCCACCTGGCCTCCCCCCGGCCCCCTTGGGTGGAGAATGGTCCCCTTTCAGGGGGATGGTGGCACACAGGGCCGGGGGGCTGAATGGCGCCTGTGAGCCGAGGCTTGGCGGGCGCCCAGCGCTGATCTCAGCGGCTCCTCCGCCGCAGCGACGTGGGGCTGGCACCTGCCCAGAGCCTCCCCACAGCGGTGACCCCAGGGTCCCCGGCACCCACGTCATCCCCGCCGTGGGGAGGCTCTCCCAGGGGGATTCAGGGATGCGCTTGGAGGCACATGGGCGGGAAGCGTGGATGGGTTGGAGTTTTGTGGGGGAGCTTTGGGTGTGTTCAGCTCTGGAGCTCCAGGCTCCAGGCAGTGTGGAGTTCTAAAGAACTCCAGAAGGGTGACCCCCTCTTTTTGTTGCCCTCTGGGTGACTCTGCTGTGTCAGTGAGGCCAAACAGTTCCAGTTTTGGGTTTCCCTCACCCCAAACCTACCCCTGTTCACAAACCAACCCCCAGTGAGGTGCTGCCGGGACAAAGACACAACCAACCTTGGGATTCACCTTGAGGTCCCCGAAGGAACACCTCTGATGTCCCTGGAATCACCTCCAATCCTTGTACCCACCAGCTGTGCCGTGGCGGCGTGCTGGGGGACCCCCGGGCAGGATGGGGTGCGGTGCTGGGGTTGGCCACGGCCTCCTGGTGGTGACAGCCGAGGATTTAGTGCACTCCAAAGGAAATTGAATTTGGTGTCTCTGTCGAACACAGCCAGGGAGAACGCCCTCGTATATCTTCGGGATTTATGGTTTTCCCCAGGCTCTTGCCGTGCTGTGTGTAATTCTGCTGTGGCATTCCCGGGGGGAGCGGGGGGTTTGGCCCTGTTGGGAATTCATCCCGGTGGCCCCACAGACCCCCCTGGGCATCCCCTCACTGTCCCTGAGTCCCCCTGTGTCTCCCATGCCAGCAGGAATTCCATGCCCTGGAGTGGGATGTCCAAGGATATGAGGGTGCCAGCGGGGAGCCCTGAAGGGTTAAGGCAAAACTTTGGGGGCTTTTTGACAGCACAGTCAGTGCCAGAGCAGGCTGTGCTCCCTGCCTGGGGCTGGGTGTCCCCGCTCTGTGTCCCAGCGGGAGCCACCATGTGCCCAAAGCACTCTGCCAGTGCCAGGTGTCCCCATGCCACCTCCCGTCTGTCCCTTGGGGACGTGTTTGGTTGGCAGCTTGACAAGGTGCTGGTGCCATCCCTGGCTGCTCTCCTGGCTGTCACAGCAGTGGGGTGACCAAAGCATTTTTGGGGGTGACATCCCTGGGGTGGCATTTGTGGTGCCGTGCCCCTGTCCTCCATGGCACATCCTGCAGGAACAGCTGGGATCGATCCAGGGGAACTCCAGGGCCCAGATTTGGGGACAAGAGTCCCTCTGGAGGGCAGGGAGGTGTTCTGGGGTGTGGGGGAGGCCGAGGGAGGCGTCCCCCTGCGCCTGTAGCCGCGTCCCCTGCTGAGCCCTGCACATGCCAGTTAATTTCACGCCAAGTGCTCTTGATGGATCACTTGTTATTTTTGGTGAGCCGAGACATAAATTTGTGCCACCTCACTGCAGAGAGCTGATAAGTGGGGACGGGAGAGCACCTCTGCCTGGCACAGTGGGGCACAGGCACCCTGCCTGCACCAGGGACGTGGCACCCTGGGCTGGGGTCCAGCTGCCAACCCTGTGACACTTTTGGGCAGATTTTGGGGGGCTGTGGGTGTGCTCAGTGATGCTCAGCCAGGTTTTGCTCTCAGGGGTGCCATGGGTGCCCAGCATGGGGCCAGACATCCCTGGAATGTCCTACGCTGCTCTGTCCCCATCCCTGTCCCCCTGCCCGCTCTCATTTGGGCATTTCTCTTTCCTAGGCAATGCGGTTGAGGAGAACCAGAAGGTGAAGACCCAGTGGCCACGGTCAGCGGATGAACCCGGGGTCTACATGGCCCAGACAGGTACCAGGAACAGGCAGGGGGACACTGGTGACACCGGGCTCCTGCACCTGAGGCAGGAGTCACAGAGATGGAGTGACTCCCTTTATCTTCCTGCCCACGGACTGCCTTAATTTGTTCCATTTATACATTTTTTTTCCTCTGCACTTTCCTCCAAGGGTTGTAAAGCTAAAAAAAAAAAAATCTATTAATTGTTTCATTCAGATGTATTTGTTTGGCAAACCCATCTGGGTAATTTGAGCGTGCTGCTCCCCTCTCCAGCCTCCCTGATTTATGGTTGGAGGGCTTGGAGGCGAGTGGGAGATGGATGGGCCCCGGCTCTGCTCCATGTGCTTGGCGTGCAGAATTCCTGGCCACGCTCAGCTGCTCAGGGGGGTCCTGCCCCACTGGGAGCTCCTGGGTGACCCCAGTGGTTACCCAGTCTCGGGGTCCCTGTGTGGCACATAGCAACCCCAGCCTGTTGTCACCACTACAGGTGACATGGAGCCCGTGTCCTGCCTGTCTCCAGGACAAATGGTCCCCTTTGGAGCCCTCCCCCATATATCCCTGTTTAATTTAAACGGATGGGCTCTGCTGTTGGGCTGTCCAAGAGCCTCACAGACATCATCAACCTTAATAAGAGCTGGTTGTTGTAAATGTCAGTGTGTGACAGGGTGGGGAGAGGGAGCTGCGGAGGGCTGGCTGTGCTGTCCGTGCTGCCCACCCTGTCTGTGCTGCCCACTGCCCACCCCGTCTGTGCTGCCCACTTCCCACCCCGTCTGTGCTGCCCACTGCCCACCCTGTCTGTGCTGCCCACTGCCCATCCCGTNCATCCCCTGTCCCCTGTCCCCTGTCCCCTGTCCCCTGTCCCCTGTCCCCTGTCCCCTGTCCCCTGTCCCCTGTCCCCTGCGGGCTCTCAGGCTCCCTGTCCCCCCCAGGGGACCCTGCGGCGGAGGAGTGGTCGCAGTGGAGCGTGTGCTCCCTGACGTGCGGCCAGGGCTCCCAGGTGCGGACGCGCTCCTGTGTCTCCTCTCCCTACGGGACGCTGTGCAGCGGGCTGCTCCGGGAGACCCGCACCTGCAACAACACGGCCACCTGCCCAGGTACGGGGGACACCGGGGACACCGGGGACACCGCGGGGCTGAGCAGCCGGGTGGGAACAGAGAATGTGTTGCTGGCACATCTCTGGGGTGCTGTGGTGGATGAGAAGGGTGGCTCGGCATGGTTGCAGTGACCACTCTGCCCTGGGATGCTCCGAGTGCTGTTGGCATCCCTCTGTCCTCTGGAGTCCTTCTTGGAAAAGCACAGGGGAGGCGTCTGGAATGGGTGCCCTGCACTCTGTGCCCTGGCAGAGGTCTGGAATGGGTGCCCTGCACTCTGTGCCCTGGCAGAGGTCTGGAATGGGTGCCCTGCACTCTGTGCCCTGGCAGCGGTGCTGCTGCTGGGGATTTGCCTCAGGAGCTCCTTTCCATCCTCTCTCCTGGCAAGCTGTGGGCTCCTCCTGGATGCCCCTGAGGTTTGTGCTGGAGCCTGGGGGATTTGGAGGCTGGCATTCTGAGGGGTTCCTCCTGCCGTGGGGCAGGAGGGGGCTGAGCTGCTCAGCGCCTCGAGGCAGGTGATGGGCAGGATGCCGAGGATGTTCTGTCTGTCTGTGGTGGTGTCCATGTGGCTCACGTGGGACATGGGAATCAGAGGGACCTCAGGGTGTCGCAGCAGCAGCTGCACTGCCCTGTCCCAACCTGGGAGTGTTTCAAGGGATTTTCACCTCCTGGACATGCAGTGTCCACTCCCCTCCGTGCCGGGGAGTGCAGCCCTGTCCTGCCACTCCAAAGACATCGGAGCTCAAAGAGGAACATCCTTTAGGATGGTCCCTGATCCTTTCCTGGGAGCTCTGAGCTCCCGTGGATGTGAGGGGAAGATCGTGCTTGGTGTGGTGACGTGGATTGGGGTGACCCGTGTGTGGATTTGGGGGGACGTGCGCCACCAGCGCCAGGACCCCAAAAGGGAGGCTGGAGCAGCGCAAGGAGTGACAGCGGCACCGCTGCCAGCTCCGGGATTTGGGATGGTGACAGGGCAGGCAGTGCTGGGAACTGTGCCCGGCTGAGCCGTGGGCAGGGCATGAGGGGTCTGCCGTGCCAGGACCCCCCGGTGGCAGGAGGAGGAGGAGGCTGGAGCCCTTGGGCTGTGCTGTGTTGCAGTTCCCGGTGCGTGGGAGGAGTGGTCCCCGTGGAGCCTGTGCTCGGTGACCTGCGGGCGAGGGGCCAGGACCAGGACACGGCACTGCGTGGCCGCGCGGCACCGAGGGAAGGCCTGCGAGGGCCCCGAGCTGCAGGCCAAGCCCTGCAATATCGCGATCTGCCCGGGTCAGTACCTCCCTCTCCCCACACTCCTTCTTCCCGCCGGGAGTGCCAGGAGACGGCGCCAGCTGAGCGCCAGGGCTGCGCTCCTGGTGCTGTGAGGGATGGGTGGCAACGCCACGGGGACCTGGGGCGCAAGGCTGCTGTGACACTGTGTGCACCACCCTGTCCCTGCTGGAAATCCAAGTGGAAAATCGGTGCCGTTGGTGGTGCCGCGGTCTCGAGATCCCAGCATGGGCAGAGGTCCAGCCTGAGAATCACAGAGGAGGTGGCCCATTCCCTACCTGTCTGCTGTGTCTGGCACTGGGGTGGCACAGGGACACTGTGGGGTACAGGGAGGTGACAAAGGGGGCCAGCACAGGGTCTGTCTGCACACAGGTGGCAGTGCCACATCTGTCCCTTCCTCCTGCGTGCCAGGAGTGGTCGTGGTGGTGGCTGTGGGGTTTCTGCAGTGACGGGCAGGGATGCCATGTCTTGGGTGATGTCCCCATGGGGACCCTACGTGTGACACGGGGCAGCTGGCAGAGAGTTCAGAGCAGGAGGGAGCACGGGACCTGCTCCTGCAGCAGCTCTGACAGGGACACGGCACCCATGGCACACAGCTTTGGCCATGGCAGTCCTGTGGAGATGCTGCTGGAGTCTTGAGCTTGGCAGGGAATGATGCCAGGGATGCTGGATTTGGTTGGAAGTGTGCCAGGGATGCTGGATTTGGTCAAAAGCAATGCCAGGGATGCTGGACTCGGCAGGACTGATGCCAGAGATTCTGGATTTGGTTGGAAGCAATGCCAGGGATGCTGGATTTGGCCAGAAGTGATACCAGGGATTGAGTTTGTTTGAAAGTGGTGCCAGGGATGCCGAGTTTGGAAGTCAGAGCTTCTGAATTTGGCGGGACCAATGCCAGAGATGCTGGGTTTGGTTGGAAGTGATGCCAAGGATGCCAGAAATGTTAAGCTTGGTGCGAGCAACACCTGGGTCCCCACTCTGAGCGTGTCCCTTGTGTCACAGCTGGTGTGGAGGCCAGTCCCAGTGACAGCCCCATGCCCGTCTGGCACGGGACAAGCCAGCACATCTGTAGGTTGGACCCGTTGCCCGGTGAGCCCGGCGCGGGTCACAGCGAGCCGGGGCTGTGCGGCCGAGCGGCCGCTGTCCAGTGGGAGCTGACGCTGCTCTCCTTGTCCCCGCAGTGGAAGGGCAGTGGCTGGAGTGGGGCGCCTGGAGCCGCTGCTCCGTCACCTGTGCCAATNGGCGCTGGGGACCCGTCGGTGCCAGGTGGCTGCGGGTCCCACCGTGCTTTAGCGTAGAAGCACGAGGGAGCTCTGACATGTGCACACGGGGCTGGGGATGGCTCTGGGCATGGGGAACACCGGGAAAAGGATGGACCACGGGGTCCTCATCCAGTCCTTTGAGCTGCTCCTTGTTTTGTGGGAGAGGTCATGGCATCAGTGGCAGCCACAGAGGGAGATGGTGGCTGTGCCATGGTGCCCATGGATGGTGACAGGGAATAAGGGGCATCTGCACCAGGATGGGCATCTGCACCAGGATGCCAGTCTGCTCTAAAAGAGATTTAAATCACTGATCCATGGATTTCACACCCCGCGGGATTTCGGCTCACAGCGCGTGGGGCGGCCCCGTCCCCGTGGCTGCTACTCTCCGTGCGCAGAGCCACGTGTCGATAGTGTCCCCATCCTCACAGCAGACAGCAAATGGGGTCCCTGGAACCACTGGAGCCTCTGCTCCAAGACCTGTGACACCGGCTGGCAGCGGCGCTTCCGCATGTGCGAGGGCACGGGCATGCAGGGCTACCCTTGCGAGGGCACCGGCGAGGAGGTGAAGACCTGCAATGAGAAGAAGTGCCCAGGTACAGGGTACCCCACACCCCAGCGCCCCTCACCCCACACCTGGGCAGTGCTGATCCCCCCCTTCCCCCTCAGCCTACCACGAGATGTGCAAGGATGAGTATGTGATGCTGATGACCTGGAAGAAAACGGCTGCCGGGGAGATCATCTACAACAAATGTCCCCCCAATGCCACAGGTGACCCCAGATGCCCCACGGATGGAGCAGGACAGCGGGTGGTGGGTGGGATTGGGGTCAAGCACCCCAAAGCCCAGGGGCAGTGGGTGGTGTTGGGGTTGAGCCACCTGGAGCCAAGCAGGGGGTGGTGGGTGACATCAGGGATGAGCACCCCCAAACTCCAGGGGCAGGGGTTGGCATTGGGGTCAAGCACCCCTAAACCTCCCTTCCCTTGGAGCAGAGAAGAGGCTGATGGGGCCAAGCCACCCCAAAGCCCCAGTGGTGGCATTGGGGTCAAGCCACCTAGAACAGGGGTGGTGGGTGACATTGGGGTCAAGCACCCCTAAATCTCCTGGCCCTGGAGCTGCACACGGGGCTGTGGGGTAGCATCAGGGTGCCAGGAAAGAATTCCAGTGCCAGCCCTAATCCCAAATCTCCGTTACAGGGACTGCCAGCCGCCGGTGCCTGCTGAGCCCCCATGGGGTCGCCTATTGGGGTGTGCCCAGCTTTGCCCGCTGCGTCTCCCACGAGTACAGATACTTGCATCTCTCAGTAGGTGCCCGCTCTGGCACGGTCCCTTCTGTCCCCTGTCCCTGGGGCTCTGTCCCATCCCTGGCACCCCAAGAGCCACCTCACCTCTCTGGCATGGGGAAACTGAGGCAGGGCTCCCTGGGTGGGCTGGGAAAGGGGATCTCATTTAAGCTGTGTCCATGGGGAATGGTTCTTGGGATGGGAAGGTTCCCTCAGATCCCCATGGAATTCCCTGTGGGGTGGGAATAGGGATCCCATCCCAGAGCTGGAAGGCAGTTCTGGTTTGAGTTGTGTTCCTATGTCCTTGGGAAAAGGCTTTTGGGATGGGGAGGATGCCCCCCAGACCACCCTGATGTCCCCAAACCCCTGTGAATGTCCCCAGACAATTCTGGATGTCCCCAAACCCCTATGGACTCCCTCAACCGGCATGTCCTGCAACTGCTTTAATTAACGCAATGAGCTCTGCAGCGTCCCCCGCGCTCTGGGGACGATAAGGGACACCCAGCACTGCTGGGGGGTGGTGGCAGCAGGGTGACACCGCTGTCCCCACCCTGTACCAGCTGCGGGAGCACCTGGCGAAGGGCCAGCGGGTGCTGGCAGGGGAGGGAATGTCCCAGGTGGTGCGGAGCCTGCTGGAGCTCATGGCCCGCAAGACCTACTACAGCGGCGACCTGCTCTTCTCCGTGGACATCCTGCGCAACGTCACCGACACCTTCAAGAGGGCCACCTACATCCCGTCCTCCGAGGACGTGCAGGTAGCGGGCAGGGGGACAGCCAGGGTCCCCTCCTCAGAGGAGGTGGCCGTCGGTCGCTCGGTTGCTCGGTCGCTCCCCAGCCCCGCTGAGCCCCGTCCCCGCAGCGCTTCTTCCAGGTGGTGAGCTACATGGTGGATGTGGAGAACCGAGATAAGTGGGAGGATGCCCAGCAGGTGAGTGGCACAGGGGGTGGTGGCAGCCGGGATGTCCCCGCCCAAGGGGTGTCCCCTCACTGAGGAGATGCAACCCAGCGGTTCCGGAGCTGCTCCCATCTCCTGCAGGTCTCTCCCGGCTCCGTGCACCTGATGAAAGTGGTGGAGGACTTCATCCACCTGGTCGGGAATGCGCTGAAGGCTTTCCAGAGCTCCCTCATTGTCACTGACAACCTGGGTGAGCAGCGGGGTGGGCGTGGGGACCTGAGCGGACACAGGAGTGGGAGGTGACACCCTTGTCCCCTGACAGTGACCAGCATCCAGCGGGAGCCCGTGTCCGCCGTGTCCAGCGACATCAACTTCCCCATGAAGGGGCGGCGGGGGATGAAGGACTGGGCCCGCAGCTCTGAGGACAAGCTCTTCATCCCCAGGGAGGTGCTGAGCCTCACCTCAGCCGGTGAGCAGGAGTGCCCAGCTGTGCGCACATCTGGTGGTGCGCACACCTGGAGGCGTGCCTGTGTCTGCTTGAGTGTTCCTGCACATCTGGAGAGGTGCGCGTTGTGAGCGGGCACATCTGGAGTGTGCAGGTGTGCACACAGGAGTGAGTGCACATCTGGACGTGTGCACGTGTGAGCCTGCACATCTGGAACTGCACATGTGTGCAGGCGTGTGTGAGCCTGCAGATGTGAGTGCACATCTGGGCGGGCCTAGGCGTGTGCGCGTGTGAGCGCACACATCTGGAGGCGTGCCTGCCTGCACACACAGGAGCGCACATCTGGCGCAGGTGTGGGCTCACATCTGGCTCCTGCTCACACACACCTGGGCCGCGTCCGCGGGGGTGCGCGGGTGGCCACACGTGGCTCTGGGGCCGTGTGTGTGTGTGTGCCAGCGCACATCTGGGGGCACATCTGGCAGCCCCGTGTCCCCGTCCCGCGTGTCACCGAGCCTGTGGCTCTCTCTGCAGAAGCCGAGGAGTCGTCGCACTTCGTCATCGGGGCAGTGCTGTACCGCACGCTGGGGCTCATCCTGCCCCCGCCCAGGTGAGTGGTGCCTCCCGCGGTGTCCCCTGCTGTCCCCCGGCCTGTCACAGCCCGTGTCCCCTCCCGCAGGAGCCCCCTGGCCGTCACCTCCAAGGTGCTGACGGTGACGGTGCGCCCGCCGACGCGGCCCGCAGAGCCACTCGTGCTGGTGGAGCTCTCCCACATCATCAACGTGAGTGTCCCTCTCCCGTGTCACCAGCAATGTCCCTCCCCACATCACCAGTGTGTGCCCCCCTCCCCATGCCACCGGCCCCTGTCCCCCTTTCCACATCCTGACTCTTCATGTCCCTCATCGTCACTGAAAGTGTCCCCCTCCCACATTGTCATTGGGAGTGTCCCCCTCTGTGTCATCCACACAAGTGTCCCTTGTCCCACATTGTCATTGTGAGTGTCCCCTCCCACGGTGCTGCCCTTCCTCATCTTCAGCTCTCCTGTGTCATCAGCAAGTTCCTTCATCAGCACCACGACTGTCCCCCTCCCCTCCCACACCGTTGATGTGTCACCCTCCTGTCCCATCACTGTCACCTCCCAGTCCCACACGGGTCCCTGTCACCTGCAGGCACCGAGACTGGGGCAGGGCCCAGCAGTTCCCAATGTACAGCATGGTCCCTGTGCCCAGGCTGGGGACGTGCCAGCCCTGGGACCCCCGGGGAATGCTCCTCAAGGGCCACGTCTCCTCGGGGGGTGGGGACAGGGCTGGGGGGAGCTCTGACCTGTCCTTGTGTCTGCAGGGCACGTCCCACCCGCAGTGTGTCACCTGGGACTACTCGAGGACGTGAGTCAGGGGCACGGGGACACAGGGACACTGGTGACAGGGCAGGGCTGGCAGTGCTGGGGGGCTGCTGGGAGGGAGGGGAGCAGGGACAGGGATGGGGAGCAGTGCTGGGAACGGGGATGGAAATGGGGTGGGGGAACAGGAACAGGGAATGGGGATGGAAATGGGGTGGGGGAACAGGAACAGGGA